CAGGCACAACATTAAGAAAATAAAATATCTTTAATAATTGTTTTTTTTTATAATCAGAATATTTTGTAACACCACATTTATAATTTACCGTAATTTTTATTGTCAATGGAACATCCAAAAGAGAAATGAGAATCATTGTAAGATATGCATGTGTATGTGGGTTACATTACGAATGGATGCAATGGAAAAGTACTAGCAGTCGTTAAGATTGGAGAACCTCAATAAAATACAATTAGTTGAAAATATATAAGTTGAAGTTGACGATTAGAATGTTTGTAGTAATTTTAAAATGTGTAGCATCTTTATTGTTTCTGTTATTGTTTATAATTGTTATATATTGAAGATAAATACAAAGTACGAGGGCGGATCAATAATATCCTGACTTCGAATAAAACATAGAATTTTTCAAAAATTTGCAGAACTTTTATTAGTATTACTTTAGTATAGAACTTCGATAAATAGCTTGTAACGTTCATATATATTTTCTCTTCCTATATTTACATCGACAACTAATTTTAATGATAAACAAATGTTGTTTATCATAAAACACCAATGACCAATGATATTGCATTATGCTATAGATTTATTTTATCTTGCCAGCAAGAACAGCCATAATTCCATACCCGTTCATTTGTTCGTTCAGTTAATTCGAAAATTTCATAATTTGTTATCTTCACATCAACACTTAATCACATAATAGCAAATTTTCACTTTCATTTTGCCTACATCAATTTGTCATAAATTAATATTCGATTTTTTTCTTATCACGTCAGTGAATAAACAAACGAAAAAATGATTAGCGATCTTTGCCCCCTCCAGTTTTTGTTGACATGACTCAAATCTGCTATATAATAATTGGAAGAGTTTATGAATAAAAAAAACAACATTTGGATAGATAACTAGGATTTCCCATAGAGCATTTGGAGAATTTTTTTGTATATAATTACATCTGCAGTAGGTATACGAAAAGATTTTCTTTGTTTTTATAGGTTAATAAAAATATAAACAAGATATTGTCAATGATTTTTTTCTCGAGTGGTGGACGTTTATTACTCATTGAGAACCATGTATCCCAACATACGGACACCAAAATTCGATCAGGACACTCAAATAACTTAAATCCGGTCGGTAATGTAATTTAATGCAGTTAAATTCAAAATTCGTTGAGGTACTAAATATTAGCTATTTTGACTGGTATTAGGTGTGTCTGGTTACTTTTCCAGTAAGATTTACTCAGTAAGTTCTAGTTTAGAGAGGAAGCCGTTTTTACTCTCTTTTGCGATAATACTGAGAAAAGTAAACAGACAACATTTAGTAAGATTTAGCAAATAAACAGCTGATTCAAGAAAACATTTTTATTTGCGCCAAAATAAACAAACAAAGGACGAACACAATTATTTGTATTACATTTAATATTAAAAATAAAATGAAAAATAAAAGACAAATTGATTTGCTTCCTGCATCAATATATTGTCCTCTTTCTTGAACTTGCCTAAAAATATAAAAAATAATTTTATAATTTAATTAAACTTATCATTACTTATGTATTTTCTTCCATTTTCTGTAATTTTTATGAAACTTCATATCAAATTGAACTTTGCAAATTAAAAAAGTCTTTTGAAAAATGTATGTGTTTGTTCATAAAACATCTGATCCAAAAATGGCTGAGTTTGCAAAATCTTACTGCATAAAATTCTTTCAGTAAACTCCAGTAAGTTTGTTGTTGTTGAACTGTCAAACCTGCTCTCTCACTTGACTCTCTTTTACTGGATTTTTGGGTAAACATACAACATTTAGTAACATAATATAAAGATGCCAGTTAGGTGATATTTGTTTACATATTCATACACATTTGACTGATTTCATAATTTATGATGCAAATTTTCAGTCCATAATTTCCACTTTTCAATCCATGTTTCTTCTAAATTTTAGTCCTGATTTAAATTAGGCGAGTTTACTTGAGGCAATTCTTATCGTTCACTTTTGAACTTGCTTCATGCGTCTATACAAGGCAATTCGGTTTCAAAAATATTTTTTGACATAGTTGGTCTGTTCCAGTACTTTTTTAATAGTAAATCTAGTAAAAGGGAAACATTTCAAAATTGCTCTCAGAGTACAAAATAATTTGAAAAGTTGGGGAACGCAATCTACTAAATATGCCAAAATTAGATGGCAATACTTCAAAATCAACATAACAGCCAATCAGAAGTAGGCATTCCTTTTTAGTCTGCTTTTCCACAGGCAGATTTTTATTTGGCAATTTTTTTGTTTTCTCTTTTGAAAATTTCGCTTGCTTTTCCATTAGCAAATTTTTCTTTGCCAAATTTGCGAATCAAAATACAAAAGAAAGAAAATAAAAGGCAAAAGTGTTTGCATTTTAAAGATTTTATTTATTTTTTATATATTTTATTATATAAATTGCAAAAATTAAAAATTAAATTTCACTTGCACAAATTAAAGCAACAGGTTTGTAAACAAATGCCGGCTGTGTGTCAGTAAAGCGAATAGGTTCAAAAGGAAATGTCAACAAAATTGTTTTCAACGAACAGAGCAAAGCAGAATTTGCGTGTACGGCAAATTCTGAACAGGCAAATTTTTGTTTTTCTTCCTCGCACCCCTCTCGTCTACAAACTCAGTATTTGCCAAATAAAAGTTTGCCTGTGGAAAAGCAGACTCACACTACAAACAAAATACACAGAACGAATTGCCAGAAAATTGTCGGTACGAGCAATTTTTTCAATTTCTATTCCCCTTGCCCCTCTCTCCAGCAAAGACTTGCCGCAAGTAAACTCGCCTAATCTAAATTGGGACTTAGTAATATTTGTTGTAAATAAAAAAATGTTAGTTAGCTATTTAATATTTTAACGTATTTCTAAACAAAATTTTTTTGGTTCAAAAACACGTTTAGACTTTGTCTTCTAAATCGACACGATTTATAGATCGATGCACGAAATCAGAGCTGTTTAGACTGGTATTAAAATTAAAGGTAGTGTATTTGTCAGCTGTTATTTGTTTGCGTATACATGCACATGTCACTGCTTTCAAAATTACTGGTACATATTTTCATAATTGTTTTATGAATTGCTCTTCATTATGATAGGTTAAGGGCTGCCATTTATAACCGTTCACTCAGAGACATTCGTCCATTGTGCTCATTCTTGGTACCTGAAAAGAAAAGAGTAGAGGAAAGTGGAGAAGAGGGAAGATAATGGAAAGTCTTGACAAAGCTTAGGATCTACTTGGGGTATATTCCGGAGAAGAATACTAGATTATCAATTTCATATTTGCAGAACTGTGTTATCTGCCACTTAGCGAAGGATACCTACAGAGTATATGTTCAATTATTTCTATCGCTTCCTCATCCTCTCATAGACGACAAAAACGCACTCCGTTAATGTAGCATTTGGAAGTGAGGAAGCTAATCTTGCCGTGATCTGTTATGATCCCCACAGCGAAGAAGTTCTACGGCGAGAGAATTTTGTCCTGCAGCCAGGTTCAGTTGACCTCGACTACCTCGCAGTAATTGAAACGGATTTTGTCAATAAAGTAGCCTATGGGAAGTTTACAGATCCCTCAATCGGTAGATGTGGACTGTGAACCCCCTCGACGATGCTCATCGGCTATCTCACTTCCTTCTATATTGTTATGTCCTGGAACCCAACATAATTTAACCATCCTATATTATGAAGAGTATCCTTGCAATCACGAACCGCTTTTGAGTTAATAGTGCAGGAAATGAGTGCCTTAAGGCCGCCTGACTATCGACATATATAGTCACCGGTCCTATGTTCTCGACAGTAAGTGTTTTCGTGATTGCCAGGTTTTCCGCCTAAAAAACGCTGCCTAAAAACGATAGCTAGTTCCTTGCAGTAAACGCTTGTCAGGATTGTATTCAGGACTGCCTGTGGTGTGCTGCTTAGCGCTCCATTAATCAAGATCGATGCCGATCGCTGTACGGTACTCATTTTAGCCAGCAGTATCTTCTTGTTGACCCCTTGCCACCATACAAGGTGACCATATGTAAGAATGGAGAGTACGACCGTTACATACAGCCAGTGTATGATCTCTGGTTTTAGTCCCCAACTCTTACCTATAGAGTTCTTGCAGGAGTAGAGTGCTTTTAGTCCATTGCGTTGCGTTCCTTTTGTGGTCGAGGACTGTACCACGGTATTTTGCTTCTAAGGTAAGGTCTAAGGTAACTCCACCCAAGGATGGCAATCGGCGTGTGCCAAATTGGACAGAATTAAAAGGGCACTCTGCAGAATATTAGAAATAGTCCTACCGACTAGCAAGACTACATTATCAGCAAAGGCCACAATCTTTATCTTAAGGTGGTCGAATTTCAGCAGTATCTCGAGACTCTCTTAAATGGAAGAATTGATAATCCTGCTTTCCATCATTCTATAAATCCAATCCGTTAGGAGGGAGGCGATACCTGAACTATCGAGAGCAGAATGGATAGCCTCCACGTATTTTGTTACACACTTTAAGGAGAAATCATTATTTTTGTGCAAAGCAGAGTTGTATTTGAAATTATCTCAATTTAGTATAGAATTTCTAGCAAATTAAGATATTGAGTGGATCTAAAATTAAAATGAGCTCGATTAGCAGTTAAATCGATATATTGCACTTTATCACAATAAAAGCTATAGTCTAAACGCGCCTTTAGAATGAATAATAAATAAATAAAAATGCGAAGGTTATCGAACGAAATATGTAACAATTTGCAAGAAATCACCAGATCTTAAAAGCAAATTTAAAAATTAAAATTTTAAGTTATCTTTAATTGTCTGTAATTTAGATAGAGATGCTCTATTCCAGAACCTGCAAGAATCTCCTATCAAAGTAAATTATTTTCCACTGTATAAATTTTAAAAGTTTTGTCCACATTTTGAGTTGTTAAACTATTTTTATGACTTAATTATTTAAATTGCAAAAAGCTATTTCATTATTTTGGGTAGATGATAAGAACCTTTCCTTTTTACCCTTTCATTTTTCAGGGTCTTGCATTTACCTTGGAAGAACGTCAACTGTTGGGCATTCATGGCCTTCTGCCGGCTGTAGTGAAATCGGAAGTAGAACAAATCCAACATTGTTTGTTGTTGTTGGATCGTTTGGAATCTGACTTGGATAAATATATGTATTTGAGTAGTCTAGCCGAACGAAATGAACGTCTATTCTATAAAATTTTGGCAACAGATGTTTCCAAAATGATGCCATTAGTTTATACGCCCACTGTAGGTTTGGCTTGTCAGAAATTCAGTATGATATTTCAATATCCCAAAGGCCTGTATATTACAATTAAGGATAAGGGTCATGTCTATGAAGTTCTCAAGGTGAGTTTTATTGCGGTCATATTATGTTGTGAGTATGAGTGAATATTAATATTTTGTTTGCATTTACAGAATTGGCCGGAAACCGATGTACGTGCCATTGTCGTTACAGATGGAGAACGTATCTTAGGTTTAGGCGATTTGGGCGCCAATGGCATGGGCATACCGGTTGGTAAATTATCCCTGTACACAGCTCTGGCCGGCATAAAACCTAGTCAATGTTTACCCATAACTTTGGATGTTGGTACCAACACAGAAACCCTACTCAGTGACCCGCTCTACATTGGTCTACGCCATAAGAGAATTACCGGCAAGGAATATGACGAGTTCATCGACGAATTCATGCATGCTGTGGTACGACGCTTTGGCCAAAATTGTCTCATACAATTCGAGGATTTTGCCAATGCGAATGCATTCCGTTTTTTGGCCAAATACCGTAATGACTTTTGCACATTTAACGATGATATTCAGGGTACAGCCTCGGTGGCAGTAGCCGGTCTGTTGGCATCACTGAAAATCAAGAACACAAAACTGAAAGAGAACAAAATTTTGTTCCTTGGTGCTGGTGAAGCTGCCTTAGGCATTGCTGGGCTATGTTTAATGGCATTGATGAAGGAAGGCCTGACCGAAGCTGAGGCAAAGAAATGCATCTGGATGGTGGACAGTAAGGGTTTAATTGTACAAAATCGTCCCACCGGTGGCATCACTGAACACAAAAAGCATTTTGCTCAAGATCATGCACCTGTCGATTCCTTGGAAGAGGCAGTTAAAACAATTAAACCCTCAGTCTTGATTGGGGCTGCGGCAATTGGTGGAGCCTTTACCAAATCTATACTGGAGATGATGGCCGAATTTAATGAGACCCCAATAATTTTTGCTCTATCAAATCCCACGAGTAAAGCTGAATGTACAGCCGAACAGGCTTACCAGTATACCAAAGGAAAATGTATATTTGCTTCTGGTTCACCCTTTAAACCCGTACAATATCAGGGCAAAACATTCTATCCGGGCCAAGGAAATAATTCATACATTTTCCCAGGTGTAGCGCTGGGTGTACTCTGTGCCGGTATGTTGACCATACCGGAAGAATTGTTCCTGATGTCAGCTGAATGTCTGGCAAATTTATGTAAACCGGATGATTTGAATAAGGGTTCGTTGTATCCACCCTTGAATAGTATTACTGAATGTTCGGTCGAAATTGCCGCCTACATTGTGGAATATGCATATAAAAATGGTGAGTTTGAAAACGTTATCAATGAAAATAACATTTACAGGCATATAAAAGGTTTTCAATATTGTGTAGGTATATATTTTCAAACTTAGTACAGGATAAGAATAAAACAATTTAGTACTCTGTGGTTGTGGTTTTTGCTAAAATCGTATTTAGTGTACTGTACAAATTGTGGGTAAACTCAAATTGTCCGCAAGGTGGCACTAATTGATAATATGACAAACGAATGAAAACGAGATATGACTAAGCGGTGTTCCAGAGCCTGCAATACTTTTTGGGAGCATACGATTAAGATTATTTTTTTTAATAATTCGCTCCTGTGAAAGTCGCATTTGAATGCTGTTACATCTGAAAATATGTCGAAGTATATAGTTTACAGCGCAAAACTGCATAATACATTAAACATGATCTTCTTAATTTATCCAGTGTTTGTATTATTCGTCAATAAATAATTCAATGTCTTGTATAATTTCAGGCCTAGCTACAGTACGCCCAGAACCAAAGGACAAGAGAGCATTTATACGAGCACAAATGTATGACTTGTCATATCCATCAGCCATTCCAGAGGTCTATATGTGGCAACAGAAATTGTAAAATTATTTTATTGTAAATATTAAATAAAACCCGTTATAAATAATATCGCAACCAATAGAAATGTATGACTATTTCGTTCTCTAAATAAATATATTTAATATAAATGTTTTTTATTTATTATATTGTGGAAGGTGGTCTCATTTGAGAAATTAATAATGGCAACCCCTTTTAATATGTTACTCATACATCAATTTCATATAAAATTCATGCCGATTGGAATATTTTCAGAAAATTAAAAATTTATATTTTATGAAGCTGTACATTGCTATCAAGACGTATGGATGGGCGTTACAACTTATATTTATAGCTTTAAGAGGCAGGGAATTCAAAATATTTTTAAATATAAATGATTTAGCATTTTTTGCCATTAAACACATCCTGTGCATAAATTTGGAACATAATTTGTATAATAATGCCATGTTCGGAAAGCAAGTCTTGCAGATAAGTAAGTTTGTTAGATACATACGAACTTAATATAGATATCAAACGAAAGTATTAACCTTTTTTGAAGATTAATTGAACGTTGCATTTTTTTTCATTTTTTACTTGAAAAAAGTTCCTATAATCATAAAACTAGTAAAACCCTAAAAAAATCGATTCCGAAACTCTTCGAGCTGTATTGGAAAAGACCAAAAAATTACGTGAACAGAACAAATATCTTTCAAAACCAACACACTAACTAGATTGGTTTGGTACTTGTCATTCGGAAGTCACTAGTCACTCACATGCCTGTAGTTTTTAAGAGGTGATATGTAGACATTGGTACCAGTTTTTATTCTTAACATGGCTCTGTTATGCCAGAAGCCACTTGCAAACGTTTTTAAAAACTATTTTCTCAAAATGCATTGTGTGTTAAGTCCAAGGTCTCAAGTTTGCTGTCAAAATCCATTATTGTGAATTGATTTTCATTATGAAAAAGTAAACAAAGCCAAAATTTTTGGCACTAAACTTGCTGGGTGTCCTTATTAATCGATCTTTGTCAAGTCCTTTCGGTTTCTACGCTTTGCCAGATATATAGACTTCATACATTTGATTGACCATATACAAGCCTCACGCAAAGACATACGCATTGGAAAGACTAGATAAAATTCTTTTTGGAAAAATGAGTTGTCGAATGATTGTAGGGACGCTTACCATAACAAAGACAGGATGCAATATTAACATAATATAAAAGACATGGCATAATTACAGAAAGTAGTCTCATTTGAGAATTTTTGTTGGCAACCCTTTTCATTTGGAACTCATCTATCAATTTTAAATAATAGTTCCGTTCCAGAACCTAAAAGAATCTACTCATTTTACATGTTTTACAACTTTTTACTCGAAAACCGTTCCTCAACCCACAAAACTGTAAAACATTGCATCAAATTTAAGAGAACACAATCAAAATGGCCACTGAACACATAATATGCGCATATTTCGAAGGAAGATATTTTCATTTAAATTTTAAAAGCCGAATACTGTCAAATTTATGAAAAAATTGGAAACATATGACTACATGAGACTACCTTGTATAATTATGCCACGTATAAAAGATGAGGACATCGAACTGTATTCCACACCTGTTCCCAGTATATAAATAGAGTACGATATCATAAAAATGGAGCAAAAGCCATTCATACGGTATATTGAAGTTTTTGCCACGTAAACACAAAACCAACGTTGTTATATATATATATATATATAAGGGAAAAAGAGACATGCATAACCGAAAAACAAAAAGACGTTTATTATTAGTTTTTATAAATATCAAACAATGGATTTAGTGTCGATTTCTACTTCATTTCGTTTTTTGTCGTATACTAGCAGTAAACATTAATTCGTCCAAGGATAAAGAATAAAAGTATTTGAACTATTATTGGGACATGTGTACTTACTTCATGAGCACTGGAAGTCAAAAAGAGGAAGGAACCAAAATCAGACTTCTACTTTTGGGTACTGGTGAATCGGGCAAATCAACATTCATACGACAAATGCGAATTATCTACGACAAAGGCTATACAGAAGAGGAAAGGCGTTTTTTTATATCGGGTATTATGGACAATATACTAAGTGCCATGAAAGCAATGGTCGCGGCTATGAATTCCCTTAACATCGATTACGAATTGCATACCAATAAAAGAAATGCTGAACTGATTGCTTCTGCTGATTCTGAGACATTCGCATGCTCTTTGGGAATGTATATATTGGCTATAAAGGACCTGTGGCAAGATATTGGAGTCCAAGAATGTTACAGAAATCGTAACAAATACCAGATAATAGACTCTGCCAAATATTTTCTAGAAAATATAGATCGCATAGCGGAACCCTCTTATTTGCCAACCGACGGTGATATATTGCATGTGAGAATAAAAACAACCGGCCTGATAGATTACCATTTTACGGTGGAGAACGTACGATTTCAAATGACGGATGTTGAAGGACAACGCTCCGAACGTAGAAAATGGATACACTGTTTCGACAACGTAAAAGCCATTATATTTTTGACGGCCATTTCCGAATACGATCAAGTGCTGCCGGAAAACGATCAACAAAATCGTCTTGTTGAATCGAAAAGTGTCTTCAAATCACTTCACAAATTCCCTTGGTTTGCAGATACCTCAACTGTGGTGTTTTTCAATAAAATAGATTTACTGAGAGAGAAAATAATGTACTCGGACCTGGAAGAGTTCTTTCCCGAATATCGGGGTCCCAAGAGGGATTATGCAGCGGCGATGAGTTTTATAAAACATATGTTCCTTGACGGTATTCCACAACAAAAAATATATTCATATTTCACATGCGCCACCGACACAACAAATATTAAAGTTGTATTCAGCACTGTACACGATTCTATATTACGAGATCGATTAACGGAGTATAACTTATGTTAATTTTTTTTACTGGTGTGGAGCTGCATTTCTCTCTGCTTTTGTATGTCATCCTTTAAATACTAAACGTATATTTGTGAGTGTATAATAATATTGTTCTTCCAGATGTAAATCGGATCGGAATAAATCTATTTTTGAGCGACATGTACATTGAACTTTTTGCCGGTCGGATTGTAATATAAAATACTGAATAAAATACTTATTTGACTCGGTTCTACCAAATTTTCGGGTTGCTCCTAATTATATTGTGCCATGACTTGATATCATCTTGTGAAAGTCACTCCAAATGTAAGTACTGCACTTTACACACCCCATGCCATAAACTAATTTTTTTCTTTCCACAAATATAATACGTGTGCGTCCCATAGTTTAGATTATATTTTTCCTAAAGATGCCCAAATAATGCTTTAAATAAGTATAATATACAAACTGACCAAACCTAATTCAAATGTAACCATGTTGAAACAATATTTTAAAACCAATTCCACCATATTTCCGCGTCCGATGACTTTTTTACTATGTGTATGATAATAGGTTCGTTCGTTTAATCCTAGTAATATTTACTCAGTAAGAATTTGCAGAGAGTAAATACGAATTTTTCCTTCTCAAGAGAGAAAACTGCAAAAAGTAAACGAACAACATCCAGTAAAAAGATGTTTCGACACAGCTGAATAAAACAACAAACAAATGTGTGCAAACTAAAAAACAGCATTTAAAAAAAATCGTTCGCCAATTACTCTTGTTTTACCTTAATTTTTACATACTTGCGTTTTCTTCATCCATTTTGGTATTTAATGATACAAAATCAAAATAAAATTCTCAAAACAATCAATTTTCTTGAGAAAAATTTTTTGTTTGTTTACAAAACATAAAAAACAGCTGATTAAATATCAGCTGATGGTACAAGAAAATTCTTACTGAGTAAATTTTCCTTGTAAGAATTTGCAAATACTCAGTAACACAACTGTCAAATCTGCTCTCTCAATTCACTCTCTTTTACTGGACTTTTGGATAAACGAACAACATTTTGTAATAATTTGTACAAATTCGTACAAATTATTGAGTAAACTAACGAACCTAATGTATGATTGTTCCTTCCTATGTGGTCCTCAATAAGTTTTTAATGCTCCTTGACTTCTAACCATATAATGAATATGTAATATTTTAATAAGGTGTAGGGGAGACTGGGGCACCTTCGGCATCGGGGCACCTTCGGCAATCGCGTTTTCGATATGAAGCTCTCACCGTACATCACTAGTTTATGTTCTGACGGGCATCCGAACAACGTAGTTCGCTCTCAGAATTACGTACATGAATTAACCCGTTCATACAACACTATTCATAATTCATATCATCAGAGTTTTTTATTTCAAACTTTTTGTTTCTTGTTTTACACCAAAAATGTAACATATTTTAGTGAATTACATAGGGATCTAAATAGAAAAAATAATTCTCTTTCTCCTGACTATAGTATGAACCCATATCTATTTACTTTTCATTCATGTTTTCCATTTTTTCTGAAAATGTTGTTGTTTTTAATACATTTTTATATTTTCTCAATTCAAATGTCACATACTGTCACAAATAAAAATTTGGAGAATTTTTTGTTTGAGTTGCCCCACATTTGTTTCTTGTTTTGTACGCTAATTAGAACCAAGGGAAAAGAAATGCATATTGCATTATGTAGAAAATAAAATTTACATCCTGCTGCATATATAAAAACTATACAATTTTTTACTTTTCATTCATGATTTTCAATTTTACTGAAAAAGTTTGAAAATTTCATAAATATTTTCAAACTGTCAAAATTAATTTATTTTCGATAAACACTCTCAATTGTTAGGGATGGGACAAATTTATTGGTTATTCAGAGAGTGATTCGAATTGAACAACGTACAAAAGTTGGTGTTCGCTCAGACAATTTTGTATGGGGAACTAAGTAATTCCTTCATAATAAGGGTCGAACAACGAATGAGAGAGCGAACAACGCTCGTCTGTACATGGCATTAGATACATGGGTTTTTGTATTTTTATAGATGTTTCTGTAATATTTCAATTCCATTTCGTAAGTATTTCGTATATAAAACTTTTGAAATTTTTAAGACAATATTATTAAAAAGAGGTTAACTA